TATTTTACATCAAAACGTGATTTAATTAAAAATTTTCCGGAAATATTTTACATCAAACGATTAATAGGAAAATATTGTTGCCATATGCAAGAAAATTATTATTTCATCTGCTCATTACAACTTAGACAAGATCTTCCCCTGTGTTCTCCACACATAGCATTGAAGCACATGTACATTGTGGTAATTTGCCGTTTAGAATAAGGGAAGCATGCAAAAATTGTCCTCATATTTGACTTCTCTTCTACTTAACAACGTCTTGGATTATTCTGTATATTCTCGTCGAGAGCTGCTCAAAGTTTGAATCATAAGACGCTTCCCTAACCAAGGTATGCCCAATTTAGCGCTTACATCTCTCGTGAATTTTCGTCGGGTCGAATTATTCCTCTTTTTTGATAAGTCTAGTGATTCTGTTTTCCGACAATAAATAGCACAGAAATTTATTAATTCTGTGTTTAAAATTCGATAAAAAATACAAAGAGGCCATATCTTTGTTTTTCTGCTGCAAGACATTTTGCTGCTCATCTGATCAAAGTTATAATGTATTTCTCCCGCCTTCTTAGCGAACCTTCGTGGTGTAGTGGTCTGCACGCTCAGCGCGTAACTGAGAGGTCCGCGGTTCGATTCCCGACGAAGGCGTTGCATATTTTTCATCTTGCCTGCTCCCAAAAATACCTAATGTCTCTACAAAGTGTCCATGTCCCCTTTGGTAAAATTATAAAACGCTACAGTATCCAATTTGCTACTTGCTGCGTTTATGACTTTATCACTATGAAAGATGTAAATCTACTTGGTTTGGCCTGGGATTGTAAGACAGGAAAGCTATTTTTTTACCAAAGCAGAGAAAAGATATGTCTACTTTTCTATTTTTAACATTCATATATTCATCTGCAATTTGTCATTTGTTCTTTCCTAAAGTTCCAACCATGTTAAGTTTAAAAGGTGGTTTAAACTCAGTGACCGCTGAAAGAAAAGTAAATCAATTATATACGGTTATATTACGGTTTGATCCATTTATAGACTTAGTTAACTCTTTTACAAAATATTTAGTTCATGAGATACCTGTAGTATTTGTAGACTTCCCATCATAAGGAATAGCATCGATCACATATTCGGCAAACAAGCGAATTTAAAAAAGATAACCGAGACAAATTTCAAAATTTTACCTTACGTAGAAACTAATCATTTGTAAAATTTACTTATACTTCGCGCGTTGTAAATTAATAATATAGGCAATCGAAATAAGTAGGGCGGAATGCAGGTGTTTCAAGGTAAACTAAGGTTACACAAAAGGAGGAACTATTTATTTAGAGGGGAGTAGTATGGAAATTTACGAAATGTGTGAAGTGATGTAAAATTTACAAATGGTTAACTTTCTGTGGTAAATTGAAAGTGAAATAACGGAGAAACTGCAACTGTTTACTTGTAAATTAATTTATGTAGTACAGAGAAAATCAATAAGAATGTTTTAAGAAAGGTAAAGTCAATTTATACATCTGCTGACTCAAAGATTGATTTAATAGGCTCTGACGTGATACATCTTATTCCTTAAGGGGGCTCATACACCTTAAACCGCTTATGATCTTCGAATATGTGACTGTTGCAAGAATTGGGATAACTTATTTATTTTAAAAGCAATTACTTCCAACTTTTTATCGCTGACTACGTAATATAGCTGCTTTCTGAAATCGTAATCAGAAAGTTTGTGTTGCCACAAATATTTTTATAATTTAATCCGTTTTGTGACAAAAATTTTCTTCATTTTTTCACTTTGCGCACACAGTTTAAAATTATATGATGCATTATTTAATTCCATAGTTTATATATAGCTTTTATAACATTTGGAAACTACCATGAAGCAAAAATTCTAAAAATTTCATGTTAAAGTTTTATTTTATTTGGAGTTGTGTTCATAAAATGAATTTTATTAAAAAATATCTGAAATAATTTTCGTGGCATAAAATTTTTAATATTAAAATATTCATCAGATTTTGGGTTCAGTTAGAAAATAGTGTCCATATAAAGAATTCCATCCAATTTCAAGTATGTACCATTAGCCATTTTTAAAATATCATGCGCGCAAAATGGAAAAATGACGAAAACGTTTGTCACAAATCTGATTAAATTACAAAAATATTTGTGGCAACACAAACTTTCTGGTTACTAGTTTCCAAAGCAACTATATTATGTAGTCAGCTGTAAAAGGTTGGAGGTAATTACTTTTCAAATAAATAAAATATCTCAATTCTTGCAACAGTCCGCCTTAAAGTTTCTAACTTTCCCTTTTATGCACTGAGATTATCGGTACGATTTAAATTGGCAGATTTCGTAAGATTTTTTTTTCTTCCGATTCTTTACTTTCCAGAAATTTCTAAATCTAAAAGCGAATAGGTTATCTGGCTGCTGAGATCAATCATCGAATTTTTCTTTTAGCTCTTTGTTATTGTTTGTATTTCCTACTAACTCAAGAGAGAGACAATGTAACAAAATAAACAAAAAGAAATAAAAAAAACTTTGCTTTGTGAAAGGAAGCAAATGTTTAATCAATAAAAGACAGGCAATGTTTTCAGTTATGACAGAAACTACAGCTATTAGTCAGCCTCGAAATGAAACTGGCAAGGTGCTCAGAGCCAGCTTATATCATCTACTATGGGAATACGCTACCCCCAGGTTCCCTCAAATGAACCTTAGTCACGTGAGGTACCTGTCAAGACAAATTGCTGCCTCAGGATAAGATGGGAGGAAAATAAGTCCACACACAGCCCATTTTTGGAACGCCAGATTTTCTTCCCCTTTCCCCCAGACGTTAAGGGGCTTATACCCATCCTTCGTTTATCAAAATGTATTCCTTCGCAGCTGATACGCAGGATTTTTCGCGTTTCAATACATTATTTTGTTTGTCCCATTGATTGTACATTTTTTTTCGCTTTCGAACATTCCGCATTACCATACACACTTTTTTGTTAAAATATTGATGGGTCTAGTGTTTTAAGCTACGATAAGTCACTTTGTACAGGCAGGTTAGAGAGTCTGAAATTTGTCATCCCCTAAAATGTCAATATTTAGGAATATTAGACAAATCTTGTCAAGTTGAAACGAGTCCAAAAACTTCCTTTCCCTTTCAGTTTTGGATAATGAACTAGATACGGATAATTCCGTAAACTTTCGTGTTTGTTTGGTGGATTTGTAAATATTAAAATTTTTGGAAATGTGATCGAATCTCGTTACGCTTCAGTGTGACTTTCAGATTATCCGGCAATTAAAGCACATTGTACAATTTAAGTCTGACGTCAAATGATAGGTTAAATAGGTGAACTATTAATAACTTGGTATTATTTCTTATTAGTAAAGAAAAATCTTGCACGTACATTAGAGTTAATTAAAAGTGTTAAATATTAAAATTTTAACCGCTTTCGAGACCTTTCGCTTTCGAGAGTGTTTTCCAAAATTCTTAGCCATTTTACGATTACTTTTTATAGAACAGATGACTAATATTAAGAAATTTCAACTCTTATTACATTAGAACATTTGGGCATGGAGTAAAAATTCATGCAGTGCTCGAATTAGGAATACAAAGGGCTTAGATAATCTTTTAATTTCCTTTTCTCAATTATAAGTGTTTGTACGTTCTAGAAACCGTAATTGTTCTGCTTAGAAGCTGACAAGAAAGATAGCTTCTGTTCTTTCCCAGTTCTAGTGCTGTCAAAATACGAGAATAATAATTCAGAGACAAACCATTTGAAATTAATCAAGAAAGCTCAGGTGAAATAACTAACAAGTGCAATTTTTAATGAATAATAATAATTTTAAAGTTCTTAAGCAATTATATTTGCCTACAAATTTTACATTAAATTGCCTAAAACGTTTTATAAATTTTATTTGTTTCTGGTTCCTGAAAAATAAACAGTTAATTAAAGAAAAACATGGATCAGTAATAAATGTTTTATTTAACATGAAGCAAAGCATCATATAGTATAAAACATGAGGATTAGTACATTTTAATATTCACAAACTTTGGCATACTTACTTGAAATGTAAATAATAAGTCTAAAAAATAATAAGTCTAATACATACCTTTTACAATCTTTCTTTAACATTTAAACGACTTTGGATAATAATATTACGGACTTTACAAAGCCGGAGGAAACATAAAATAAAAGGGACTTACTTATATATGGAATTTTGAGATTTTCAAAATTCCTTCCTTGTGACCCTTTAAACTCTTGATACTGAACTAAATATAAAATTCACCCACCTTTAATTTGCTGTTAATTATGCCCAATAAAACGCTGCCCATTTTAGGACTGATATTTGGCTGTCGCTTACCTGAAACTATTTTGAAAAAGGTTTTAATATTATATAGGATTTTTTCATAGCTTTATCATTTAATTGCCAGAAAAAGCTCACCTAGAAGTAGATAAAGAAATGATTGGTATTCATGAATTTCAAATTATTTGCATATTTCAGGAATATTAAGAAACTAAATTAAAAAAACTTAAGCTTTATTTAAACATACTTACAACTTAAACGCGAGATTCGATTTTACTTAAAGTGGAAGGAAAAATCTGCAATAGCACGAACCATTTAAGAAATTCGAAACAAAAGTCCACTCACCTAAAAATAGAAACACGTAATTAGATCACAAATAATAATCAGGAAAGGACATATTTTAAATATGAATTTTCATGAAAGTGAAATAATAAGTTTCATAAAGCATGCTTCAGATTATTTATAAATTAAATAAAAAATTAAATTTAATAAATTTTGGAAGTAATTTATTTTCGGGAGGTAACACTTTTTATTTCACATTATGAAGTCCTCATGCCAGCTCATACATATGGTAGAATTTCACCCACGAAAGATTAATTTAACTTCTTATGAAACAACACATAAATGACAATAAACTGACTCTTATCATTATGGGTAATCATAAAAAATGGGTGAAAATAAGACGACATTTAGTTTCGGTATGTTCCTTTTTACCTTTTGGTTTCCCAACTCACCTGACAAACCTTGAGTGATCCCGCCGCAGTAGACTGTGCAGTTGGTTGGGCTGGACTGATTGTAAACTTCATCAAATGTGAGGGGCTTGGCATTGGCTAAATAATAAATTTTAATTTTAATTAAAAGTGGCAATTTAATTACAAACTTGGAGTACAAACAAAAAAGTTTTAATTCTTTTATAACACTTTAGAAGAAAACATCCTTAAGGTTTTCTCTAATTTTTCAGAAATGCCTTTAAATTAATAAACTTGTTTTAAGCAATGCAAAAATTTTGTGTCATAAATTTATAATATGCGGGAACTAATCAAAGGTACGTCAATCTTTGATTCTTCTTTTTTCCTGTTAAATGCAGAATATTTTTTTAATAAAGCAAACAAACCTCTTCTGCCAAAACCTATGAAAGAATGAAGTAAAGAAGAAGCCGTTAATTACGGTTAGTAAAGCAAAGTAGCCGAAATTTCCAGCTGTTAAAATTTAAAGCTTATCGCTAGGCTTAAATATCTAAATTTTAGTTTATGAAATTTAGTAAGTGAATTAATTAGGCTAAAATTTGTTGCTAAGTATGGAAAATTAAATTCCTTCTAAAATCAAATGCATAAAATGTATTTTATTTGTTTTATTTGAATACATATATATATATATAGAACAACTTTAAATCTATTTTAATCAAATTAATTTAGTATGTTTCAAGTATACATTTTCTTTTTTAAATGATATTTTTCCTCAAAATGTTTTTCTTCACTTACTTCCTCCAATAAATTTTGACTTGATTTCCTTTCCTTTAATACATTTTATTGGAATATTATTAGTTATTGAGCAAAATATTTTTAATCATTGTTTGCATATATGAGCATACTGCAGAGTTATTGCGAATTCCTGTGCATAATTCCTATATAGTTAATTTCAAACACAGTGCAATAGGGACATTTGTCAAATAAAATATACTATTAAGTAATTCTCAATTTGTAAAGGATGCCTGATTTGAGATATATTTGGCTAAGTCATACGGGTAGTTTAATGAAAAATGTGTATTTATGTTAGCTCGAATTTTCAGTTTTGTATTTTTAGTATCTTTAAGTGAAATAAGAAGAAAGAAACGTTAGTCTTTAGAGTAATTACAGTAAAGAATTAAAGCTTCTTGTACGAATAAGAATTATTTACAGGCACTACATATAAACCTTTATTTTGCATCATTTCTTCTCATCACATTAGTTAGCTGACGCAGTAAACTGCTTTTTCTCAGAAAATACGATTCTCTGAATCTTCAAAAGGGTATGATGTAATTTTAACAGAAATTCTCCCTTTTATTTTATGACTAAAAGACTTAAAGAAGGCATTGAAATAAAGCTGTTAAACATATATATTAAAAGCCCACCGGCGGCCGAGCGGTAAAGTCGCTGAACACTGGTAGTTCGGTCCGAGGTTCGAATCCCGCGAACGGGCTGGCTGCATGGGCGTTTTCGTGGTTTTCTCCATGTGTAACGTGTATACGAGCCAGTTTCCCTTAGAAAGTCCTCCACGAAGGCATCCCTCCCCTTAGGCAGATAGCCCTCGTGTGCTTTGCCATAATTAAAATACATATATATTAAAAACAGAAGTGATTTAAATAAGTAAATCTGAATATTTTGCCTCTAAATTTCACAGAGAACAATCACAGAGAACAAGAAGTCGGATGATTACAATGTATGGAACCTTTTAGGCTGCGTCACATAACATAATATGGTACCCAGAGTGATTTCAATAAGGCCAGATAGCGAAATAATGCAGGATAGTAACAAAGATATCTACGTACACTCATAGTAAATTAGTATTCCCAAAACCCGGAAATTAGCAATGCTCTCTGCACTAGAAAAAATTTATTTATAAATCTTTTAAATTCAGCAAACGCTAAGGCAGTTTAAAACTTAATTTATGCTTATTTTTATTATATAATATTAAGCAGTTCATGCTCTTTAATTTATTACAAAAAGGATGTAATTAGATCATTTGCAAATTATTTTCTTTATTAAATGCTTTTTTGTTCTAAAATAATGATAATTACAAAGCATATGCTTTAATGCTCTATTTATGACTCTGCATTTCCTCCCATTATAAAAGTGTAGAGAAGTAGTTTCGAAAGTACTTATTCATAATTAGATTATCAGGTTTGTGAGATTTTGAATTTAAGCATGCCAAATAACACATATTTAAGTATATCAAATATCACTATGCTTAGAGTGGCTTTAAAACTAAGTCTTTCTGATCATTTATTTTAACAACACTGTGTCTACGAGTGTTTTTAAATGCTTCATGATTTAGTAAGATACAAGCTTATAACGTATCACGAAACGGTCGGATTTTTATGCTATGAGCTTTGTTCTTTGTAATTTTTATAAACAAGAAGTATGAAAAAAGGTGTTTTATCTTTCCTAACTGAACTATGTAGGAAGTATGACGCATTTAAGTTAGATAGAAGCAATTTCACAAAGAAGCGAGGTCTCTGGTTCTGGAAGCGAGATTCTGAAGATCTCTGGGCTGCATGAAGAGTACCGTGCTCAATCTGTGCATCCATAGCTTTTTGTTGGATTTATTGATTCTAAATTCTTTACCGTGCATCTTTTTTTCTTCCAAAGTGTTAGGTAATGGATTATGCAGAATAACTTGAGAAATATGCCTTCGCTTATTTAATTCTAAATTCAGGGGGAACTGAAAATGGCGATTTAATGGAATTTTTTTTAGATAGATTTAAAAAGAATTAACGAGCGCTAATTAGAAACAAAATTCTTTCACACTTTTAGATGCCTTATCCAATCCTATGTTCGTGAGGCAAAAAAGTAGTTAATTAATTAACAATTCCGTAGCCGGCATGGGGAAATTAAATACAAACTAAAAAAATAGGAAAGCGTAATACGTTTAGGGATACCAAAACCTTTTTTTTTTTTGCCCCGTCAAGTAGGAGTAAGGTTTTTCTTTTCTAGTTTACTGCATTTTATCGAATGCTTGCGTTAGATTACTGATGAATGAAATTGTGGTTTCTCTGCGCACTATAAAAGATATCTATTCATGTTACAAAAGATTGAGATATCCTAATGGATGACTTTTTGGCTATTTTGAATCCCCTAATGGGTGTTTTCTGAATCTCTTGAATAAGAGTTGTTCATGGCAACAGATATCTTGAATGCATCAACGTTGAAATTTGACAGCTGTTACTTCAGTTGCAAAACTAGATGCATTCAGTCACAGTAACAAATATCGATTTTTTATCAAAGGATTTGCTATTACCATTTAAAATTTATATATTAGTGCAAATATGTCAGTTATAAGACATATGTTAATCTACTAATGTACGAAAATTATTCAAAACAATAGAAGATAACTTAGTGCAGATTAAATTAAGTGTACATATTGCTAAGCTATTTATGGGAATCATATGCAAGATTGCTTAATTGACCTTAATGTGCACAAAACATAGGTTAGATTACTCGAATATGGCAAAGTACATAAGAGCTATCTACTTGACTGGAGGGATGACTTCATTGAAGACACTAAGAAACTGGCTCGTATTCATTTTACAAACGGGTCAAACCACAAAAACCAACCATTTAGCCAGTCTGTTCGCCTGGGACAGAATCTGGGAGGAGCTACAAGTATTTAGTGCTCTTTAACCGTTTGTTCCCTGGTGGGGTGAATTATGCAAGTAAGGCAGCTGATTTAGGACCTGATAATAATGCATGTTAAGGATGTACCTGATTAAATAAAATGCCTACTTTAAAATATAACATCTTAAAATTTATTAAAATTCTTTGCTTCAAAAATAATTTAGTAAGTTTTTCATCGCTATTTAAAAAGCAAAGATTGAGTAAATAAATAAAAAGTTGTTGAGTTAAATTTCTAAAATCAAAGTTTTAATAATGATGTCCATACTTAATATACTAGCGATTATAGTATGTAATTCACTGCTTTACAAGATCTAAAGGAATGCTTTTTTTCAGTTTCATGACAAAGTTAAATACTTTGTTCATAATCAAAGCACTTTAATAACCTTAAACGGAAAAGATTCAGTGTAACCCTAATTCTTTGTTAAGTGTTGAATAACGGAAATCGCCAGGTCAACAAAATGACTGTTGCCATTTATGATAGTTAATAAATAATTATAAATTATAATTTAAATATACAAAATGTATATTTAAATTAATATTTGTTTTGCTTTAAAAGATTATCTTTGATGATCATAATAGAATGTTTTTAAAATTCTTCAGCTGACGACAGTGTGGGTATGTGTGTGTGGGGGAAGGGGGCGCGGCAGCAAAAGAACTGCTAGTACAGACCTCCTGATTATCTGGCTTTGCCTTCTTAAAGTAGCAATTGCTGGAAAGCAACATTCACACTATTTGAAGCAAACGAAAAAGTACACTCAAATTTGGAAAAATCACAGTGATTTGTTTTTAACAATGAATTCTATTTTGTTTAAATTGAATTCCTATTTTTAGTTCGCTGTTAGTATTTATGTTTAGAAATAAATTGCAAAAAAAAAGCAATTTTAGATTTTTTCACTTTTATTTATTTATTTATTTATTTTTTTTTTTTATAACTGAAAGGTACTTAGGCGAAATGGAAAATTTAGTTTGCTTCTGAATTTATTTCATGTTCCATTGATAAGGATATAACAGAAAATTCATCTATAAATGTGTATTTTATGCTAAATTATTTCATAAGGAAAATATTGAATGCTGCATTATGACTGAAAGATAGCAGAAGAATTTTGAAATGAATTTCTTTGGCAGAAGCAGTTTAAAGCTTTTTCAGATTATAATATTAATGAAGGAAAATCGTTCGTAGATTTTCACTGCGTGTCTAATAATTAATGAGAAAACTATGAAGAACAATTTTATTAATAACACGGTAAGAATCAGTAACTCGATAACTGAATCTGATTTCTTTGATGTGTTAGAAAAATGTGCAAATTTGAAATGAAAATTTTAAGAATTATTTCAGCATAATTATATTTTGAATGGATAAATTTATACAGATAAATGGAGACCGATAAATATACACACAGTTAAAGCTTATCTATTTCATTTCACTTCGATTTCGAAATAATTCGTCTTGCGTTGCTAATTTCATGTATAGTAATTTCCCTTATATTGCTAATAATAATAACTCTTATTAATTTTAAACAATTCAGCCACATTTGACCAGTTATGCAATTGATTAATTTTGAGTTTGAATTTCTTACTTACTTTATTTAAAAAAATTGACATCTAACGACATGTTTAAAATCATAATTACTTTCTTTTAAAACATTATTATTTTCCGGAGATTACTTCGGTAACTACTTCTCAGGCATTTTTATTTGAATGGTGAAGGAATTTCTCTTAATTTCTTACATTGTTGCAATCTTTACTCAAAATGTTTTACTAATAATGTATCTTCTATGCTTGTGACTTTTGTCCTTGATGTAAAGATTCTGTTACATCATTTTCTCCCAAACCTATCTTATACGTGTTTTTTTTTTTTAAATTTAATAACAGAAATTACGAAACAAACTTTATGCTTTATCTTTCTTTCAGATGTAAATTTATAGGTAATGATAAATTAAAATGCTTTTAAAGAAAATAATGTTTTTTATGTTAATATTTCCATTTGCACAAAAATGTTGTCAATTCCCTTTGTAAGTTAACTTTTCAGCAATTTATAAAATCCTTAATCAGTCGGATGATTTTTAATCAAAGAAATTAGAGCTCTAACGAACATACAGCGAAATTCGTTTGTGCGATTAGTGTAAATAAAGACATCATTATTAAAGTAAATTGAAAAACGGGATTTAACATATCTAGCTAGGCTTTTAAGTAATTTTAAAAATTATAACTTAGTTATCAATTTTATATATATCTCATTTTCTGTTGAACAGTTTTTTTAAAGGTCTTTAGCTTGCCTTATGATAAAAATAGCTTAGGAAACACTTATTATGTAGTTTATTGTGAGCGAAACCCTCTAAATTCAGTCAAAGAATTATTTCTCTAAATTATACAGGTGATAAAGTAATCACACTCAATGATTTACGTTGATAGAAAAAATTTAAATGTATATTAATCTAAGAATAGTTATTATTTCGCATATACAGAATATTTTAAATACAGCTAGAATACAGCCTGTAATCAAATGTTTAAAATCATTCTCAAAATAACTTCTTAAATTTAGAGTATTACATAATCTTAAATCAGCAATTTTAGATAAAGAAGGTACGCTTTATACTGTTTTTATAAGTTAAGTGTTTTGGAGAGCATTGAGTTTTACTTAGAATTAAAGAGCTAGGAATTTATTCATTAGAGCACATTTCAGGAAAATTGTAATTTAAGAAAATGTTAAGTATTAAAAATACAGTTAACATTTCCATTTTTTAAAGATTGAATATCAATACTCCAAAATTAATCAAAGAATTAATTCTTTAAATTATTCAAGTGAGTTAGAATATATTATTCTCAGCACTCAGTCTCCAAGAAGTGATTAAACATAATAAACTGAATAAAAATTTTGAATTTTTTTCTTACTGTCGTTCTGAGAACGATTGGCAGGGGGCTTTCTTGTTGCCCAATTAGTGCGAATCGCTCGACTACCCAACCATTGACCATTCATCGTTCCTATCGCATTCTCGGCATCCTAAAAAAATGGAAAACAAGTTTTGAATAAATACAACTAATGCCAAAGTCATTTATAAATACATATGAAAAAAATCGTTCAAAACATATCATAAAAATATTATAAAAGCTGTCAGTCAAGTTCTAAAACTTAAACGGTTTTCAAGTAACGCAATAAGAATTTCAACAAAATCTACAGTTCAACATAATCTATTCATCGGCATGCGTTTTCTCAAGCGCTTTGAAATATGGCGCCATCTATCGCACAAAACTTGCATAAAATGTCAGACTTCTTTGTTTAACTCGTTGAATTTTTGGAGTGGTATTATTAAACACGAAGTTATACTATATTAGCTTCTTCATAGACGTAATGTAACGCCTGTGTCATTGTCTTGTGTAATTGTCAGCTTGCAAAACCTATACAGGATGAACAGATATTATAGCTAAACGTGATTCAGTTTATCGCTTTTCATTCTTTGGTATTTAGTACAGATTTATGATTACTACGAGCACGCTACCTAAAAATGTATCAGAAATTTTTTACATCATATTTAATATATGAAAATCTAATTAAATTTATAACGTGCTACAAAGTTTTTAATCTCAGTTGTTTAAGAAACTACCATCTATGACGCTTAATAACACTTCCACGCAGTGATTTCGTCTTATTCGCTGATTGAAATTTTTTTTTGTAAATCTAAGCATAATTTAAATTCCCGTGCCAGACTTATTAACCAATATTTTCAAAATAATTATTTCTTTTGCAGGTATAAAAAACTTAAATTTACAAATATTGTTTTAACTGAAATACATTTCTTATTTTTTATCATTCCTTATTCGTTTTGTCCATTATTTCTAAGGAACTACTTATTTCTAAACATTAGTTTCCTACATTAATAACTTCAAGCAACATTTTTTACTATTTATCTGCAAGTATTGCAAATGATGACAAAGTATCCAGAGTTTGATGTACAAAGTATCCAGAGTTATGGAAGTTTTACAAAACTTCCATAACTACTTCCATATATATAATACTGTTTTGCGAAGTGTGTAGCATAGTTTCTATATTCATGAGCATAAGCATTTTATGTGAGCAAAATACATTCTACAAAATATAATAGATGTAATACATTCTTTTGTGCAATTTAGCTTTCAGTAAAATGCACCAATAAAATCGTGAGATTTGGATTTAAGAAAAACAAAGATCAGAACAAAATAGAAGTATGTAATATTGTTAGCAATCTTTTACGTTAATATATTATTTATGGCACAAAAGCTAAGACTATCTGCATATCACAGCGTAAATCTATGATATTCATAAAACAGAATAACTAACAATACAACTTGAAAAATAAACTGGTAGAAAAAAGAGTTTATTCCGTCAAAACCAAAATCGCGTTAAGTATTCATATAGTGCGCGATAAAGTAGTATAAAGAGGAAAATATTTCATACATTAAAAATAAAATCCATTAATTTACACATTTAAGTCTATTTTAAGGTGCCAAACTCTATAGAAGAATACCAATAAAAACAAAATAACTTCTTTTCGAAAATGCTTTGCAGATAAAATTCCATTGCATCCGCCATTTCAAGAATAGCATTTCCAAGCGAAGTCATAACACTCATCTGTAGAATAACGAATTATAACAGTGCTTTACTGGCTCTGATAAAATTTTGTTTGGGTTGCAACAAAGAAAAGATACTTAACTAAAACTCTTTTTTTCCCACTCCTTAAACATCCTTTTAAAAAGCATGTGTACTCTATTTTATACTAATTGCTATTGATATGCAGCGGTTAAAAAGAGTACAATTCACTAATGCATTGTTATGGTGCATTATTATTAACTAAACAAGTAATAAATTACCATAAATACGCATTATGTACACGTTTTGAGAAAGAAAGGTTCTATTAAATTTTAAACAGTGATACACTTATTTTACCCAAGTTTTAATTTTTCATTAGTATTTATTTAAGCTACTCATTATTTAAAAAAGTCTTCAAAATATTAGCAATTTACTAGGAAAATAACAATCAATCCTGAACTTACTTTAAGTGGATATCTTTATACGTGCTGCTATCTTATAAAATAAAACTTTATAATTTCAGCAGACTAATTCAAATATTCTGTTTTCCTAAAGGTAGTGGTGCCAAATAAAAGGGATTTTAAAATTTAACCACATGTATACTTCAGCTTTAAAATAAGGAATTTTATTTCCGAGATCCCACCACCAATAAAGTGACTATCGTTTTGATAATCGAATAATATTCAATTTGTATCGATAATCGAATTTCATAAGTTATGTAATTGTCGTGTAGTAGAAATTGCGGATGGCATTTCCTCAGTCATTTCATCCCTGCCTGCTCAAACATAGACGGACTCCAAAGCAAACATGAAGCAATGTTACCCCGGAAGGGGGACTTCTATTCATGAAGCGTCACCACGTCCCTTGTTGGTGACGGTGTATGCCATGTGAATGCGTCCAAATGCGTTGGCTCAAGCAAGGCAATTTCATAGAAATATTGATCGGAAGTCCTAGAAGATAGGCACACTTATTTAATTTTGTGAGGAAGGGGAAATATGGAGTGTATTATTCGAGGAATAGAGATTGCTTTACGATGTACGACTCGGTCATTTTCTTGCTTGATGTTCACTGGTATTTTATTTGATTTATGTGCCCTACATTTAGACAAATTTAAATTACCAATCAAGTATTAGGTAAACTCTGCAGATGTTAAAAAAAAGCTTTCTTTCTATGTAAAACTTTTTTTTTTCTATTTCAGATTGCTTTTATACATGAGAAATATATACATAAATATTTAAATTAAGTAAACAAAAAAATTAAGTTTGAAGGGTTGGACTATTGATTGCACAAATGAATTAATTTATTAGACGATTAAAAATTTTATCTAAAAATTGAATTTTTGAATTGTGTCTTTGTCAGCTTAGAAACTGGCTAGTATTCTGTTACATTTCTTGAGACACCAATCTCTTGATGACGTCCCTGAAATTTTATCTAAAAATTGAATTTTTGAATTGTGTATTTGCAGCTTAGAAACTGGCTAATATTCTGTTACATTTCTTGAGACATCAATCTCTTGATGATGTCCCTGAAAATGTCAAACTATTTTTTTTATTTTTATTTAAATTAAAAGACATTAAAATCTTACCCCCAACCTTTCATATTCCTAGAGCTTCTGAAGTGCTTTGTAATCAGATTTCATCTTTGATTTATCTGATCAGCTTGGAATTACTTTCATTTTGTTTTGTTTTTTAAAATTAAAACTTAAATTTGCTACAGGATTATTTAATTTTTAAGTGTTTTCGCCTGTGTTCATCTATATAGTAATTTTTTTGCACTTTTTGTAATTTTTTATACCAATTAGTTTTTTTTTCTACTTTGCCATACTGAATATGATTTTTGAATACGCTTTGAGTTTCGTTTAGTTATATAAAATGCATGAAGCGAGGAAAAATATATCTACAAGGTGAAAACTGTACTGATGTTTTATTTAGGAATAAAGTTGATTTTACTTTATTTACTCGTTAAACTGCCGTATGAAAACTGGAGTTTACTGGTGTTTAATCAACATGTAGATTATCTACCTTATTCTTTAGTAACAGATCTTTTATTTTAGAAAACATGAACTGGCTAACTTAAGTAATTTATAAAAGTTTCTTTGATAAGCCATGGATCAAAAGCTGTTTTTCTTGTATAGTTTCTTAAACATTTGAATATGGAGGGAAATTTTCTTTGATATCTTAGACGGTATATTTGTATCAGTGGGACATCTTCCAAAGTGCTTTTTTGTTTAACACACGATTCATGAACTTGAGATCCAGATGAACGAAGCATTTGATCAGAAAATATAATTATCCTGCTTCATGCGTAAATAATGCACATTTCATGTAAAAATGTGTGCAGACAAAAATTTGTGAGTTATTTATCCTGTAGGACAAAATCAATCTCTTCGACCTTAATTTTGTCGCAGAGATTAATTTTTTCCCTCTCCTTGAGGGCATTTCCAACTAAAAGCTTTTTTATCTTAATGAACAAACAAAGAAAGCTATTTATAGGACTTTCAAGATTTTTTTATTTCTAGAAATACCTGGAGGCTATACTTATCGATTTCTGGCACTATTCTCGAGCTATTAATGTTCAAAATGCCTGCAATTTTATTAAGAGTTTTCAAACGTCCCTAATATTTGATAAAAGTATTTTTTAAGGTTTGGTTCAGAATAATATTATTAATTGGAAAGTGGTTTTGTTGAAAAGTACTTTAGTTATTTAGAAATTATTATTACTTTATATTTCAAAACTCTATTGTCTACAAGGCAAGAAGCGCTGATTTTAGTACATTTCAGATAGTGGCATCTGTGACACTCAGATTCATTCAACATGTTGGGAGCGTTTAGTAGAGTATAAGACGCGTAACAAATTTAAGTTAAAAATACCTTCTGAAACCTTTCATTTGGAAGCTTTTGAGCATGTTAACTACAGCATGTTCATTGTTTTTATAAACACATTTGATATTGCTTGCACGCAGTTCGAATAAATACTACGGACATCAGAAATTTTTGTACTTTTGCATGAAAAGTAACATAAGAGGCTCAGAAATACTTTGTTTTAAATTTAACGATGTTAGATTATTTTTATTATCACCTAATGTTTTAATGATTCTTTCATACAGCAATTTATATTTTCTTTTGTGAGAGTATCTAGACTGAATTCCTTTGAAATGTATTTAAAATAGTTTTATAAAGTCCTTTTTAGTTATGAATATATTATGTAGTGGAATGCAAGGACTTTCAAAATTCTTTTCTAAAAATTTAAAACAGCTCATCTAGACCAATGATTTTCAACCTTTTTGGCCCTATGCTCCCTTTCCACCATTTCTAGACGATCATTTCTCCCTTTCTAAAACTCAAAAAATACATAGACATTTATTTAAATTTAGATTATTTTAAAATTTGTTTAACACATTAAAGAAGAAAAATGTAGAAAAGATTGATAAATACCAA